TTTTGTTGCTATCTGACATAAACCAGTTTCAGGAAATCCAGCAAAAAGTGTTAGCAGCCTACAAAGCGGCTACCCAGTTGCCTCAATAAGGATATGTAATTAATTATGATATTTGTTGTTTTTTTTTCTTTTTTGAAGTATTATTTTTCATTGTTATCCCTATATCGTGCCGCTTGATACGTATACGACAAAACGGTGTTGTTGCAGAAATTATCGCCTTTTTTTCCCGACGAGATTTTCAATGTGCATTCTGTATTCTTTCCTCTCTAGTAGTTCGCATTTCGGTCATCATCTTCTACCTGTGTAGCTGTGTATATGTATGTGCACGTTTTTGAGTCATTCATTTATTGTTGTTCTGAATCTGACGATTTTTATTGCGAGGTGTATCATCTGCCGTCGTTTTTTTACGTACCGGTATAACAGCCAGTAAAAATGTCGATAATAATTGTACTTTGCAAAGTTGTACACAAAAAATGTTTTCAAAATGCATGCGATTGGCTCAAGTGATGAAAATTGGGCGAGACTATTTGTAGCGGAAGGTCGCCACGCTAACCCTGAACGCAGCATCATTGCTCGCACTATTCGCTTATGTTACCGAAGGTTCACACTCAGAGTAGAAACAATGCTTCTACCTCACACCCTTGCGAGATACCACGACAAAAATGTTATGTTGGGGTATTTGGACGAGTTTTCAGTCGTGTGGTGGATCGCACGTCCATACCTGTGCACTGAATCGTTTCGTTGCGGCTACTCGGTAGGGTAAAAGGCTAAGTGAAAACTGAGCGTACCCACCCGTGGAGGTTTCGTGGAGAAGCTAACATTTGAAATTGAAAGGAAGGGCTAGGGCTTGAAAGTTGAAGTTTAAGTTACGAGAAGCCTTTATAGGAAGACCTTGATTGGCCAAACAGGGAGAGACTGAAAAGTAGATGTCGAACTCCACAAATAGAGAAATTCTGAAGGAAAAGCATCCAATCAGGCAGAAATGCTTGCATTTGGCAACTCATTATCGATTGATCTTTTAAGTTCGTTCGAGACCAGCAAATCTTCGTTAATCTGTACCGACACGCTCCTCAATAACCACGAGATGGTGTTTTTCGGCCTGGACAAAGTGGGGCCGAAATATTCGTTGATTCGCAATTTTTTGCTCCGGTCGATGTGCGAAACGAACTCCAGCATCTTCACACTTACCTACTACCACAGACTCTGGCTGTTCCGCAACCCTCGTCTTCTTGCCGTCAATAATCTGTGTTTTCACTCAATTTCCATCTTTCCATCAATTTCTTGCACAATTCTGCTACCTCGTTACGGCAAGTCTTAAGTGCTCCACTACCGATTTTCAAATTTTTTTTCAACGAATTTCGCCATTCTTTCAAGTTCAGCCTCACCGTTACCTTTGTGTGTTCCATTATGTGTGCAACCTCTCGAACGCCGTGAAAACTCGTCCGTCTTTGAGTGTGGGCATCGACGAAGACGGTCCCTGAGCTATCAACGCGGCTCAAAAACCACCTTCGTCGATGCCCACACTCAAAGACGCCATTTCCACATCTATGTTCATATCTGGGTCGTTTTTCTCAAGTCGCCCCGATTGAGGTCCAAATTGGTAACAGTTCTGCACTTACCTTATGTCATTTTCCGGCCCTTGAAGGTCCCAAGATAGGGTTTCTCCTTTGAGATCCATCAACCTGCTTACCTTTCCGCCTATATTCATCATAATTCTTACTGCTACAGTTCCAAATTCGGAATAATCTTCCCCATAAGGAATTTTGGATAGGGTCGACTGCAAGACAAGAGAGCTGTATGTAGTTCATACTCAAATATTACAGTCAAATGTAAATCCTAACTTTGCCAGGCAGGAGAAAGACTTGAAGAAGGCGTTTCCTCGTTTGGCATTGAACTGATTCTGA